CAGCACTAGGTAAATCTCTTTTAATATTCGTATTGATAAATTAGTCCCTTTGATATTGTTTTTATTAAAGAACTATAGCCACCCGCCCCGGCTTCACACGGGTGCAATATACATGTATTATTTTTAAGAAAAAATAATATATACATTCCTTAAGAATCACTCTATCTACATATTAAAAAAACCGGGTCTAAATCCGTTGCGTAGTTCTAAAGATCTAAGCATACATAGGGACAGACAGACGGCGGATAGCGACTTTGTTTTATACTATGTAGTGATATAAACTCCCTATAACATTGTCTATGTAGAATCAATGGAACTGTGGACACTAACAAGCGAAAATCGACATTGTTTTCTGCAACATAGATTCGTGAATGCTATTGTAACAGATTCGCAAATCAGATTGACCCAAATAAGAAAGCAGTTTCAGTTATTGGCGTAGATTTGACTACTGAAATTGTATAAATTGTTTATTAAGGCAAGGCTACATGAGCGTTACACCACACGTGTAAAAGGAGAACACCCTGTTTGTAATACTAAAATAATATTTAATATCCGGTTAACAATTCCTAGATTAAAAACTGCATTAACACATCCTTCTTTGAAACAGAAGACGGAACCCCTCAGTTAACAACTTGTACTGGACTAGGTGTAATATTACTTCTCCTGTAAAGAATTACAAGTATTAAAAATCAATACAACACGGCATGTCACGTTTCACTTAATTATATGATTACAATATCGAGATAAAATAAACAGCAAGTACAATACTGAAATTAAAACACAATGACCGTGTGCAGTGTGCAGGCGCACAACGGCACAAGCGACCGTATCATCGTAAAATATGTTGTATTGTTACACGTATAGCATTCATTTTCGTGGTTTATCGCGTTACGCTGCCTGGTGCAAGATTTGTTGCTAAGGAATACGTTCCGTATTAAAAAAAAATCGGGTCAAGCAAGCTAACCCTTTGACCGCGGCAACGAAAACTTGCCTACCTATTCTCACCGTTTTTTAACATTCGATTATTATTGGCCAGTTTCTTTTTTTTTTCTATACCCTTCATATACTTACTATCTTCTTAATACATACCATCATTGGGGATTCACTTTCAGTATTTCGTTTCTGAATCAGACAGTCTTCAACATTAGTTATATAATCTCTAACAAGATTGAGATTATCAGCTTCAACGTTTTTTTATCGAAGTGGTATTTCCAAAGATTAGACTTGCGACAAAGTAACTAAGTGTATATCTATGTATTCATCTTTATTGCCCATACAATTAGTACAAATATATTGCTACATAGCACTTTATTACCAGGATATGCTCGTAACTTTAATCAGAGCATCACTTCAATTATATCACAAAAACAACATACCAACATTCAATGCGTATGAACTACAAACATAATGCTCGATTTCCTCATTCTTTTAATAATAATATTAATTTGAATTGTCTCGTATCATTGAATTTACAGTAAGTTTTGAAAACAAACAGAATTTACCAGAAATAGGTCTTTGTTTTACGTTTTTTTTTTAAATATTGATGTTAAAAGCAGAGACAGTTCATTAATTGGTTGAAGTTCCTAAAACTTCTGTAATTCTATGAGCTAATTTCGATTTTCTAAATATATTTATCATAGTCATACCTTCCAAAGAATCTTTGTTAAATATGTTTAACCTACCAAAGGTCATTACTGCAATGTACTTTTAAATAAACTAGCGTACGCTATTTACCAAACCGGTCGGTGTCACACAACAATAGGAAGACAATAATCACGCTCCACTCTGGGACAATGGGTTGATAACCGTAAGTAGTGAGTTTTGCAGCTATTCATAGCAGCTGCCCCCAATGCCTAATTCTGCTAGCATCGCCACGGTCGACTGGTCACTGTCCTTAGAACGTCCGCGGAAACACTACATATTTGGTGCACCTACTTTCACTGTCACTTACGTTCGTCCATGTTTATGTAAAATTCAAGTTGTTGTGACGGTGTTTTTGGTGTACACTGTCTAACTGTAAATTGAGACTTAGACACGTTTTTGCTGATTTCTTTCTGAGTTCAACTTATTTGTCAACGATTTTGGAGACACATTTTTACATGTTGCAAATGTTCGAAAATGTACTGTAATTTTAGCTTTATTCTTTGGCAATAGAGTTCGATTTTTTTAGATTTGGGAGCAAGCGAAAGGGGTGAGATCTGAACTCACGACCTCGCCTGACCTATGACTCATCAGTCAACGGCTGAGCGCTTCGGGTTATTGCGCTTTAATTGAGACAAGCTGAGGGGTCGCTCGATCTACAATAATATGGAATTATTTATAACACGTTACCTAGACTACTGTGCCAGATTTCACCCAGTCTGACTTGGTAATAATTACGGGTTTCTAACTCGTTTTGACTAATAGCCAATGCTCCTAACAAGATTTTCTATAAAGTAACGATGCCAATGCAAATACCGTGTAGCTGGATAGCTACGATTCAAGGACAAGCCAGTGATGTGAATCGTGTGTGTACAATAAAACAATGCTATGTTTTTGAGATGGTCGGCGAACGTGTAGATGAATCTATAAAATGTAGGTAGCGAGGTACATCCAATTACAAACTCAAGGTAATGCACTGTGCTAACATCGTTTTTGTGTCGAAGCAATCACTTCGTGGGAACTGAGAACACGCTGCGTACGGTTGTACGTGCGCGGTGTTTATCGCGCATATTAATTGAAAAAAATCCATGAGTCATACGTTTTGTTTACATCACATAACGTGACGCTTTGTTTATGGTCGCATTTTAGAAAATGTAATTGCGAACGCCAATTTCGTATTTCATATTGCTAAGTTATGCAACCTCTTTGCTTTGTTATTGTTATGATTACCGATGAGGCTCCCATATTTGATTATGTTAATAGCTGTTTAATAATATGAAAAAACAAAACTTGGCTTTGTGTGGTGTTTACAAAAAACGCGAATACATTATTTATCTACAATATACTAGGAATACTATATCATACAAACAAGAAACGAGGACACTTCTGAATAAATTCTGAATTATTCATTGCTTGTCCTGTCGGGATATTATGCAAAATATCCTAGATATGTCAATATTCGAAGGAAATAATTATTAATTTAGCACAACAAATCTGAAGATCTTCACCTCAATCCATACGTAATTAACATCCGATTAACCCATTTGGGACCAAATGCAAACTACACATAATTTAATAAAAAAAACTTTATTAACTCAATGAAATGACGCCCACAAACTAATATCAGCAAAAAAAATTCAAAAAATATATTTAGAAGTATTAAAAAAAATGCCGTCCTTGATTGGGGACAATGGGCTCATGTGTAGTACTTTTCGAAGTAGTAACTGTTTTCGACACATAAGGTTCTAACGCATTATTTGCATTGATATCACAGTTTTTTTATGAAGAATTGCGTGTCGGAACAGATATTAACTAAATCTCTGCGGAAAATGTCTAAATCAATTTGATGTGACGCGCCTGTATTTTTTTTTGCGGGTAAAAATCATGCATTGCGTTTTTCATCTGGGGGCTCTTACTGGCTAAAACCAACACG